GTTACGACTAGCCCAAGCCCGGGTTACATGCATGCGCTCCGTTATGGGGTGCGTGCTTTTGCGGTCGACAGCCGTGCTCGGCCAACGATGTGACGATATTCCACTCGGGGTGTTTCACGTTCACATACTCGCGCGGTGCGCTTACTCAACTTTTGGGCCCCCTTTCCCTGGAACACAATGGCGGAGGCTGAAACGGCACGGTCTGGTGCGGTGATGCGCTTGAAGATAGACAGGCCGTTAGGCGATTGGCTTCCATCGAATCCAGCCGGTAAAGGGGATGTACATACCTTAACCTCACGTGTGGACCGTGACCAAGTGTTCACACACCTCCGCCATTGTTGCCAACCAACAACTGCCAGCACGGAGAAATTTGCAGACAGAATCGTGACATACATGCCAGTCGATGGGCAGCTACATTGTGACCCGACGGTTCCAATGTGTGGTGCAGGGAATGCTCCTGATGAGGTGCGCCCGTTTATCATGAAGGCTCCCAGTTGGCAGCCTTTGAAGGACTATGCTTCAAATTTAAGGAATATCTGCTGTGACACGGGAGCACAATGGCTCGAGGGAGGGAGGGGTAAACAATCTTGGTATGTGTAACGGGCTAGGGCCCTGCACTTACCAAGGCTAAGGTGATCAGTACCAAGATGCAAGTTGCGTGAACACGAAACATGCGGATTAAATTGAACGAATTTTCTGGACAGAGAGACCCTTCCACAAAGCATGCAATCGTGCCACATTCAAGTTCCAAGAACCAAAGGTGCACTTAAGGTGTACGTAGCGGTTTTTATTCCGGCCGCCTTTCTGGGATTGGTGGCGGTGAGATCAAGGGTCACGGTTTATCTAAGCTTAAGTCATTGGGTTGATTTGCCACTACTAAAAAACCTACTCTGTTGTCTACAAATCAGCGTCATGCTTGTATGCTTCGTGAGACCATATCCTGAAAAGCCCTCAAAAATCGCTAACTATTTCATCTTATTTCTTGATGAAATGCCTTATAGACCTGCCATCCTTACAGATCTACCTGGCACCATTCTCGACCCTTTCTCTTTTGATGTCCATACAGCATTTTCGTGGGTATTTTTGCCCTGCCATGTTGCAGTTTTTCTTCTTGCACCAATCAGTAAGCAATCCACGTACTTGGCTAGCTAGCATCTATCGTCACACCGATCATGTTTACCAATCGACGCTGGTTACGCAACGATTAGCAGAAATGGTCGCAAGTACCAGTCCCGCACATGTGGTCACGTAACTGAAGTGCTGACAGCATACGGAGTATGGAAGGTGCACGGAAGCATGACACTGGTACCCGGATGGTAAGCAGAAGCAGTTGCTTGCGTCAGCTGTGGTCAAGGGCATGCTCTATCGCTCCGAAGCAGTCCGTTATGCCTAACTGAAAAGGCCATCATGGCCACAGACACGAGAAGGGTGTTTATTCTAGAGAAGGCCAGCGCCAATACGAGGAACGACCACAGGAATGTCTTACAGAGACGCGCAAACTAAACCGGAGCGGAGCCTCGCCGAGGTAACTCCGCAAGTACCGACGTGACGCAAATGTGTGAGCTGGATACGTTTGAAAGCACCACAGGCGGCGAGTGTGTGCGGCTCATTTCATTCAAGCTTACCCCATCGGTCGCTAACAGAGGGTGGGAGCCCGAAAATTCGACCGAGGAATCGACCGGACTTCCTCGCCACCTGGAACTGCTGGGAGCTGATGAGCCATGGCTTATCTTTTCTGACGCGGGGGCTGCCTACACTTGTCAAGATTAATGTGGCCTGCAATGTGTACAACACGGGGGCATAGTTTCACAACATTAGTTTGGGGGGGGGGGGGGTGAACAGATAGAAAAGACCCAACCTACCCCCAAAACATGCCAACAAACACGTTTCTCCCCAGATTTGGCCCACTTTCCTCCTAAAGCCGGGGGCTTAATTGGCACTCGGAGATTGGCGGCGCAACGGCCATCGGCCTTAATCTCTGAAAAAAACAAAAAGCTTACTTGGCGAATGTCTTTTTGTCGGCCGCTAAATGTTGTCTGTGGAATGGCGACATGCAAAAAAGTCGACTAACCAAAAAGCCGAATCGGCCAAATGGCGAAATGCAAAATGTGCCAGCAGGGGCGGATCATTGCAATCAATTTGTGTTCGGATCCGTTCACCGGGGCGCCGTCGGCTCGCGTAAACGTGGCCGATTAGTTTAACACGGAAACGCGGCACTCGTAACTTACCAAAAACCACCGAAACGTCTGACGAAACTTGGAGGGTAGTCGGGCACAGGGATATTGCATCAAAACAGATTCGACACAGTTTGACGCGGAAAACAACGGACAATCGGACAGGCAAAGATGCGAATCGATGCAAAATGAGGCGCACGTACACTCATGCGCAACAGCAGATTCGATAGTTTGGGAGCGTGTTTTCAGAACTGATGTCGATCTCAGCGACCCCGAGCAGACAGCACTGGGCAGCGACTGCCCCCCGTGACTGTATATAGAGACTGATGCTCGCTGGGATTCAAATCGGGGTCTTTTGGTTGTGGGGCCAGTGCTCTTCCTATTGGTGTAACCGCAATCGACATATATATATATATATATATATATATATATATATATATATAATATCTCTCTCTCTCTCTCTCTCCTCTCCTCCTCCTCTCTCTCTCTCTCTCTCTCTCTCTCTCTCTCTCTTCTCTCTCTCTCTCTCTCTCTCTCTCTCTCTCTCTCTCTCTCTCTCTCTTCTCTCTCGCTCTCTCTCTCTCTCTCAATACATATACATCACTCTACGCCGCCTCCTGACTGTTTGGGGTTTTGTCTTTTGGCAACATTTGTAAGAATATTTTACGAGAACATGCGGAGTTTCGAGCAAGCCCGTTTACAAGCTTTCAGTGAAGATCCCAAATGCTCGGAGATTGCTGGCTAAAACTGTGGAGCTTTTTAACCGATGATTTAGTTGTATGACCAATTTTGGTGTCATAGAATGTGATGTGACAATCGCTATAGCCTGGTCGAATTGGAGTTCAGGGCCGCAGCCCGGTGGTGCCGGCTAGCAGCTAGGAGTTTATGGTGAAGCAAAGTCTCGGGCCCGTTTCAGCTTCGTTATATCTCTCAGTGTAGGTGCCTCCCGAACACGACATCTTACAAATACTATAATAACATATTTATGATATATATGCGAGTCTCTATAATGAAAATACGAACAAAACTAAAAAGGCGTCACTCTGTCCAGGCGGAAGGAAGGAAAAAAGAATCGTTTGTCGGTAAAGAGAATCGTACGGACACAGCGATCACGAAAGATCGCACAGGAATTCCTCATTCCATACAGCCATGGAGAACGTGCTGCTTTCGCACCTAGCGCTTGAGCTTGTCAGCTTGTTTGTTTATTTCTTATGGCCATTAAGCTTTTCGTAATTTGGGCATGTCGCCATTTACCCATGTCGCCATTTATTCAAACGTTAGCGTTTCGTGGCTCACCAGTTAGCCGGCTATCAATTAAGCAAGCTGACTTTTTACACATCGCCATTCTGCAGCTCGCCAGTCAGCCGTTCGTCATTGCTAACACGTAGACATTTTGGCATGCTGCTGTTTTGTAATTCGCCATTGAGCGGTTCGCTATTTTAGCATGTCGCCATTCTTCAATGCCACCATTTTGTGGTTCGCCATTTAGCCGGCCCGAGTTTTTGGCACGCCGACTGCTTCACATGCTACGAATATGGAAGGCAGCACACAACAGTCGACAGGGAGACATTTGGCGTACTGCGAGTCGGCTTTATCTCCAAAGACCTTTGATTTCGACCGCAAGGCAATGCTGAAGCCTCAATCCACGCTTATCCAGCTGCAGGTGGACTCATGCTTGTTTCCGAGTGGAGTCGGTGTCAGCTCCAAAATTTACCAAAATTGCATGGGCTCAGAGCGAGATCAATGTCTTTCCACCCTTGATACACAGTTTCTGCTGTGAGACGGACCCTCTGACGCGGAGGAGCAGTTTCCTCTCCAGTTGGGAGGGGGGGGGGGGGCTGAGACCCCCCCCCATCTTTGGGAAGGGAGTGGTCAAAATCTGGATAGAAATCTGTCTGTTGGCGTATTTTTGGGGCAGGATTAGTTGTTGTTTTCTGTCCAACCCTCAACCCCAGCTCATTTTATGACACTACGCCCTTGCTCACACAGCACAGCTTTTGTTGTGAATCGAGGCGAATCGACTCAAGATATGGTAGCAGGATATAAGAAGCAAGCAGACAGGCAGCATGTAGGTAAGGAGGTAAGTGTAAGTAGCACGACAAAATTGCCTTCCGTCTTTGGGAGAGGGGCTACCCATCATCACCCACAATTTAAGAATAAAGTGGACCAAATTTCGAGCAGAAACCATCTGTTATTTTGGTGATAAGCTTACACATTTTTTCACTGTTGCTCCCCAGTTCATTTGGCGAACTTTCACCCTACAGCCCTGATATAGCAGGCTTCTTAAACTAAACATCCCACTTAGGTTGTATGATGTCTGTGCGAGGGGTTACCCCCCATACGGTCACCAGAGGAGTTGATGCTATCGGGCTTAGATTCCAGAGTCGAATCACATCTCTTTGAGTCTGAATTGAGCTTGAATTACAGTGTGTAACGCTTTTCGGAGTCTGAGTCGTAAACAACTCAATGCCCTGTGGTTGTGAGTTCAGAATAGATTCCACCAGTCACTAGTCATCAGTCAGATCACCAGTCAGCGAATCAGAGTCAAGCACAAATCATGCCACAAGGCCAAAAGAAGTCACGAAGACGTCCTGAGAAGACGGTACAAGCCTGCCGCCAACCGACGTGGTAGATATCAGCCAACCGCAAGGATAAAATGAAACCCCTGTTCGTCGCTGTAAGAAACGTAACAATCATCCGAGTCCAATGTTATTACAGCGGGTATGCAAATTGGCGGTGCTGTTTCTCCCAGCAAGAGAAGCCTCGTCGCAAAATCGCCGCTTTTAAGCCGTAACCTTAGGCAAACCTGGCGCGGGATACGCCTTCGTACCTTGCAGTACCTTGGACACTGTGAGAGTGGGGCGGAGGAGTGTTTTGCATACGTGAGTCATAGGTGCGCAATATGGATTTATCTAAGAATGGCAAGGAGGAAACCAGCTCCTCTGAGGGGGGTGCTACGAACAAAATGGATAAGAACAAAGAGGGTATATGGTAAGTAAACCACGGTCTAAACGTCGACATCGGCCCGCTTTGCGGCTTCCTCATACTGAGGCCCTGAGTGCGATTTATGTATATTCTGTCCGTGTTTCTCGAATGTTTCATGCGCATGATACTAATTGTGATTTCATCTGTCTCAGGTTTCAGACCTGTGACTGTGGCGATGCTTGTGGGTCTGGATTATAAGACATGATTTTGCTGTACTTTTGCATCTTGTTGAGATTTTGGTTACTGTTTGGTAATGTGGGCATTTTCTCACATCAGTAGAAAGGGTTCATAGATAGTTCTTCTAAGCTTACATGCACTGTGTCAGACTTGTGCGCCCCTCTATTTTAGAGGCAAGGCAATGTGGTTATATTTACCATTTGGCATGCTGAGTTTGGAAAGAGAAATATCACAGGCCATCATGCCATTTCCAGGTCCTCATCTGCTGTTGTAGGCCACCTCCATATGACTGTTGATAAGAAGATAACTGCTCAGATTTTGCATTCTATTCACAAACAATTATCTATCATCATATCAATTATCATTAGTTGCTTGCCTTTCATTCCTTGTAACAGCAGGACAGGAGGGAAGCTCTGCATGATGAAAGCATTATGGTTAATGAAGTATAATGGGTGATGAGGATGGTATCAATGATGATGTGATGAGCATAGCATTGAGGCAAGCTAGATTACATCAAGATACCTTTGATTTATTTTACTTTTTTGTTAATATGCCTGCAGTAGACATATTGCCCATTTTCCATTGAATATGTGTTATTCTCCTACTGCTCTGAATGCAAAACTTCAAGATTTTAACCAAAAATTTGTATTTATCAGGCACAGCATCCTTTAGTAATATCAACATGGTGGATGCACATCATGCTTTTTCCATGTGGAAACCCTTCCACACATCAAAATAATTCACTATGGGAAGCCTCCATTGTCAGTGGACTTGGCTGTCTCATAGTGGCAGCACTTGTTCTGCTCAACTCACAGCAAAAATGCAATACACTGAAGCAATTGCATGTGTATCCTCTGAAAATCAGCATCTTAGAAGAGATACTGTAGTTTGCACCAGTTTTTACACTTGCCTTATATCTGGATATAAAACATGTTTTGTTTTTCAAGTTCACAGAGCCATTGGTGGGAATGCTGGGGGCAATATTGTTTTCAACATGATCTATGCTGTTTCTTTGAGGGAGCAGAAAGTGCTGGTAGTTGTGTTACACATAACTAAACACAGCTTTTTTTAGCATGACCCTCATCTTAACTCTATTGCATGGTAAAAACACCTGGCTCGCTATGGAACAGGCTGAGAATAACATAGTCTTGGAGAACAAAATTGCTGTTTTGCTTGGCGACAGACATGAATTACAGAATCACATGCCATTTCTGCAAGACAACAATGGTATTGCCACACAAGGGGAGAACAAGTCTTAACACTGACACACAAATAGTCTTAATGGTTGCATTTTTATGGAAGGGTTGAAGCGAGTTGTATCACTGATGGAATGATTGTTCTGACATCATCCTTGTCTGGTGTGTAAGTTGCACAACATTTTGGGCAAGTTAACGCTCTGGCCATCATCAGGCGTATGAAGTCCTGAGAAGGATCAGATGATGATTAGTGATCAACCATGAATATGTTGACCTAAATTCCTCTGTTAAATTGATGGGATTCAAACCATGGTCATCTTGATGGTAAGTCTAGTGTTTTACCAACTGAGCTTACCAGTATCGATTATAACTGGAAAGGCATTAACTGTCCCTTCCCATTTAGCTTAGGTTGTAGAGTACTGGACTTGCTGGACCTGGTTTAGTTCCCAGCCATTCCAACTTTGAAGGAGAGAATTTGGGGTTTTGATACATAGTCCATACAATTATTGCATCAGTCATAACACCTGTTTTGTGCTTGGTGTTCTTTAAAAGCCATGCACCCAGACCTCAATAAAACATAATTATTGTTTGTGTTGTTAATGGCTTATCACAGTACGGGTCACCTTAAGAAAGTGTTGTCATTTTTGTGAAAAGTAGATGTAAATGTTGTCTTAGAGTATTTTGCATGACTGTGATATTTTTCTATCAGTACCTCCTGTCTGCATGATGTCTGCATAACAGCCCTGAAGTCATGGTAAAAATGATTTTTTCATGTGAGTGTCTTATGTGAGTGTCAGGCAACTTTTCGTGATGTTCCGCTTGACTTGCTTTGTGCCACTTGTGTCATTTGGTGCCTCTTAACTGACCTTATGCAGCATACAGCTTCCATTGTTGATATAACCTAGCATATTTGTATATATTTGCCTGCTGTAATTCATTTTGATTTTAAGGGAATGGTTAAGCTCATTTCTTCATTATTAATGTGCAAACAAGAACTGCCATCTTGGCAACAGCCCAGCACATTTGTCTTTATTTGCCTGCTGCTTTTGCTTGTCACTTTGTTTTCAGTGCATTGTTTTCTTTTCATGTTTTAACTGTACTTCAAAAGGCAACCAAACCTCTGGCATCCAACCATTCTACCATGCAGTTCAAAATTGTAACAATGTACACTGTACACAGAGGCATGGCTGAGCAGCTCAGTTCGAAATATGCTGAGCACGTCATAAAGCTCCAATGACATGGCTGAAAAAGTTTGTCGTGGCAGATGTCACTGGATACAAATAATTTCTGTCCACATCACAGATAAGTAGTTCATTGACACTTGTCATCTAATCTGAAGGTCTCAAAAAGACTGTTGGGTAAAATTCGTCGGGTTATTGACACTTGACCCAGGTTGTCTTCATTTGTCAGGTTTGATCATGTAAGTCAGCTATGTATTTCAAGTTGAATTTGGATTACGAAGCTCGAAAGGATATGACTCAAAGTCTTTTATGTTGAAGGTACTTTTTGAATCAAATGCCAAATGTCGGGATTGTTTTTGGTCCACATCTAAACATGCTGAAATGGAACTGAGATGGTTAGAAGCTACTTAAACAGCATTTGTCCACTGAAACAAAGAATGCCGCCACTCTTCATTAGAATGACGATTTGATGCCTCGCGTGCAGCATTGAGGTTTGGGCCAGTCGTGCTGGCGCCTGTTTCCAAGAAGCCAGACCACCAGCCGTCTAAGCAGCTCCTTTCCGGGCGGCTGATCTGATGCGTGAGGCCGCATCGATGACATGGAGGAAGCTGACGGTGCCCACGCTGCTACACCGCAGCCGGTAGTTCGCCTAGGGCGGGATGCCCGCGCACAACGCCGGGGAGGGGCGCGTGCGTGGTCGCGAGCGATGTATTCGCGAACCGACGGTGATGGCGGCCTGCGTCCTCCTTGTGGGGTTGTCGGGTCAACATTACACTCAATATAGTGCGGCACTCGTAAATATTTTTGTTTACATCGTAAACTCAAAAGGTAATGCTCACCATTTGAGCATTTAGCAGCATTTGGCATTTAGCATTTATCTGTTGTCGTGGGTGAGACTGTAGATAGCATGTGTGATACCTGGAAAATTATTTGATGTTCAATTATTCCGTGAATACTTTGATAAAATGCGATCACGTAGTTCGGGCCATTTCCGTGTAATGTGTTGACACCGGCGCGTTTCAACTTGTTATAGTTTGAAGCTGTGCAGGTCACGCTGGGTGCTGCGATCCTGCAAATGGTAACATTATTTTCAAACAGCGTGGGAACGGTAATTTGTGGGTGTTTTTGCGAACAGTGTCTATGACGGATGCGTCCCTTTGTATTACTGGTAGTGTCTCGAATTTGCTAGCATTGTACTTCCTGATGCACCAGCATGCGGATGAAAAAGTTCGGCGTGCCGAAATCTGTTCTTCAGTTAAATGTGCAGACTGACGCGGCACACACTTTAGGATTCACTTCACGTTATTTTACTAGGCTTCCCGTCACGCCGTAATGGTTCTGCGAAGTTTTAGCCTCAACATGGATTCAGCGGGAACAGATTTGCACCCAACGGCGCTTGCATTATCGCAGTCAGTATTGAAGGCCATAGCATAGCGGTCGGCTGGTGGTCCTTAAGTGCGAACAGACTTCCGGGCATTTGTTGGGCGAATAACTGGTTTTGTAATCAGAGTTCTCTGCTCGCTCCGAAGAATTAATATTGAACACATATTTCGTTGAATAATTCGGTACGTGGCATTTGACCAGTGTTAGGGAGCACAGGGCTTCCGGCATCTTCACCTGTAAACGACAAATATATCATACGTATGTGAGGGAAAGGGAAGGAGAAGAATATATATATATATATATATATATATATATATATATCGATCTGTCTATCTATATATATATATATATATATATATATATATATATATATATATATATATGTATATATACACCTGCTGTGGTGTTGTAGGACGGGGGCGGGCCAGGCGGACCAGCCAGCGCATCGCATTCCGGCTGGCGGGCTGCAGTCGACACGACCCCAAGGCGGCACGGTGCCGCCTGTTGCTGGCGGCCCGGGGCGGCACCGCCGGCGCCGCCGGGCTCGGTTGACTCAGTCGACAGACGGCACGGCACTCCCCGGCCGCAGCGGACGGCAGCGCGGCCCCGGCGCGTGCCGACCGGCTGGAGCTGCCGACCGGCCCCCGGCTCCGGTCGCCGCTCCGGTGGTCGCTCCGGCTGTCGGGCTGGAGCGGCGCTGGAGCGGCGCTGTGTGAAGGCGGGCGAGCGGGCGGCGCGTCGGAGCCGTGCCGTCGCGCTGGGGTGATTGACGGGAAGGTCGCGGCGCGGATGACGGCAGCCCCAGGCTGCGCAGGTCGGGTTTTGAGCCGGCGCTGCCGTTTGTGTTGAGGCGTTGTGCCTTAGCCTGAGCCCAGACCCACGCGATGGCTTGCTCCGCGCGCCGCTGAGGCGTACAGGCTATGGCAGGCCGTTTGGGCAGGACAGTTTCCTTGGCGAAGGAGAGTGGGAGTGGGAAATGCGGAAAGGAGAGGCGTTCGCAGCGCTTAAGCGAAAGCAGCGTCTGGAAAGCCTGCTTTTCCGACATTCGCCGACGCGTGTTGTTGGCAGACGATGGTTTTGTGTCGCAAGACCTCTGCTGACCCGTGTGTGATGCTCCGGTGACCTGTCTCACGTCTGTTCGCGTCCCCGGCTCCAGTACGTCGCGCCTGGCTCTGTTGGAGTTTCTTCACCCCTGACTGCGCTGCGGGCGGAGGTGGCTCTTTGTGCCGTACTCGTGTCTAATGCCATGTCGGCTCGCAGTTAGTGCTCCCATTACCATGTGCCTCAGGCACCGTTTGGGCGAGGTGTGGTGAAGAATGTTAATGCGTGCATTGTCCCTACGCTGTCGTGATTTGTGTGCCGTGTTCCGTGGCCGTGCTTCCAAACTCCCATTTCTGTGCGCATAAGTTCCCGGTGGCGGGCGCCACGCTCCATACAAAGCCAGGCTCTAGTTTCAGTCAGGTCAGACTTCACCATGTCACTCTGAGTCGGGGTCGGCGCCCTGTCCGTTGCGTTGCAGCTAACCTGACACGACCTGACGTGACCCGAGCCGACCTGACCTGCCCTAACCTGCCCTGCCCTTCTCGCAGGTCGTCGATCCTGACGGAGGTCGTGTCGGCCGAGTCGACCAAGCTTCCGTCTGACAAGCAGGTGGTGGTGCTAGGCAACAACCAGACCGGCAAGACGACGCTGATCGCCAAACTGCAGGGCAACGAGGACCCCAAGAAAGGCTCGGGGCTGGAGTACGCTCACATCCTGGTCCGTGATGAGTACAGAGACGGTACGTGCTCCGTGTGGCGAGTGTAAGGAGGCGGTGCGTGTCGAGCGTGGGAAATTCGCGGAAAGCGGTGTGTTCCTGGACGCCGGTTGCGGTGGCTTGCCATTGGCGACCGTTCCTGTACTCCGTCTTCAGACATAGTTCTGGCCGTCCACATTAGGGATGTGAGACATGTAAAGAGCCGTCCCTGCCGGGGTGCCGGCGAGAGCTCAGATGCGTGGCGCCCGAAGTGGCCATATTTGGCTCGTACTGGCGTTGGCACCGGCTTTTAATCCACGTAATCTACGGGAACGTTTCTCTTCACACAGCCAATTTACCGGTTGTGGGGCCCAGGCTCAGCCGCGGTACCGCCGATACTGATTCAGTACAGGCACGGTGACCCCGAAATTTTGCGTCCGTCGTCTGACTGGTCTGGCGCCTGTGATAGGCTATGTCGTCATACCCAGTCGCCAGTCGTGCGTTGTCCGCCCGGTCCGCCGCTGCTGACCGGCGCCGTGCCGTCGTCCCCAGCCACCAGTCGTGCGTTGTCCGCCCACTCCGCCGCCGCTGACCGGCGCCGTGTCGTCGTCCCCAGCCACCACGCGGCTGTCAGTCTGGATGCTGGATGGCGATCCGGCGCATGCGCACCTCCTGCAGTACGCGCTCGGACCCGAGTCGGTGGCCAACACGGCGCTCATGCTGACCGTCGCCATGACGACGCCGTGGGACGTGCTGGACCAGCTGCACGCGTGGGCGGCCGTCATCCAGGACCACGTGGACTCGCTGAACCTGAGCGCCGACACCGTCCGCGAACGGCAGCACAAAGGTAGCTCAGCGGGGATGGGCGCCCTGATAGTGCGTCATCGTTAGTGGTGGCGTTCTTGATAGGGGTGTGGTGCCGGTGACGTGGTTCGGTGCAGGGAACGGCCGTGCTGTGCTGGGTGCGCCCCGCGTGCTCCTGGGCTATATGGGCGTGCTCCGGCCGGTGGTTTGACCTGCGCTGCTCCTCCATGTCGGCGCTTATTGCTGGTCGCACGCGGGATGTGGCAGCTGCCAGCGTCGTATGTACCGGATGTGAGGTGTTAGTGTGCGGATAGCTGGCTTTTGTAGCTGCAGACGGATATTGCGATGAGCGTCGTCAGAACAGTTGCATTTTCGCCGCAGAGCGTTGGCGCAAAGGTTGCCACCGCTCCAAGAAGCCGCAAATAGTCGGCGATGCTATTGTCACTGTTCTCAGAAACGCTGATTGTGACTCCGCTGGTTACGACCCCAGCTTCCAGGCATTGCTGGCTGCGGGATTACCGTCTACTGCGCCGGTGTATGTGCTGTCGGGTGCACGGTACAGCGGTGTAACCCGTGACACCATATCCGGCCCGTGCTTAGTGCGGCGCCCGTGTACAGCCTCTGACCGCGCCCCCTCCGTCCTTAGCACAGCACCCATGTGGCCTCTGACCGCGCGCCCTCGGTCCGCAGCGTAGCACATACATGACCCTTGACCCTGCCCCCCTCCGTCCGCAGCACAGCACATGCGTGACCTCTGACCTTGCCCCTCTCTGTTTACAGCATAGCACATGCATCGGCGCTAACCGCCCCCCCCCCTCCCCTCCGTTTGCAGCATGGTACATACGTGATATCTGTCTGTGCCCTACCCGTCTGCAGCACAGCACCCACGTGGCGTCTGATCGTGCCCCCTGTGTTTGCATCGCAGCGTGTGTGTGTGACCTCTGACCGTCTTCGCTGACCCGCCCACAGTGCGGCATATGACCTCTGACCGTGCGCCCTGACCCCGTTCGCAGTGCAGCGCCGCTGGCAGGAGTACATGGAGCCGGGGGACGAGCTGGACGCCGCGTCACCGGCCAAGCGGCACTCTCAGCACCTGCCGGAGGACGAGGACGTGCTGCTGCCGCTGGGGGAGAACACGCTGACGCGCAACCTCGGCATGGACGTCATCGTCGTCGTCACCAAGGTGCGGCGCCCAGCGATGCTGCCACCCCCACCCCGTCCATGGCTGCTGTGGCGTGTGGCGCATCTATGGAATGTTTCGGTCCCCTTCGCTGCGTGGGCCCAAATGCTGTTGCCAGAGGAGGCAAGGTGCAGCTCGTTGAAATTGATAATTGTGCTCTTGATTGGGGGTCAGTGGGGTCAGCTTAGCAGTGTTGTAAGGACCTGCAATGACTGCTGTAGCCGTGGTGCTATTAGCCCGAATGACAAGTTATGTGGTTAGGTAATGGCGTGGCTATGTTTATGTTCAAGGTGATCAGATCCTTATTGTAGCCGAGCGTCGTTCGGTTCGGTGTGACGAGGTTGCGAGATTTCTATCAATGTTTTGCGAAGCTCTTGAAGCTCACAAAACGCGATAAGATTTTATTTTGAAAAGCTATCCGGATGATTTATGCTGTGTTTACTTGACTGAAATAAGTTTCGATCCTGTCAGGGCTGGGGATATACTGCCAAAGTCAGTACGAGTAAGTACAAAGAGAGTACAAAAGTACGAGCCAAAGTCACGTACAATCAGTTCCAGGTCTTGTTCCTGTTGTAACTTTCGATCGACCATCCGCCTCGAATCGTGTCCGCGTAATCCAGGAGCGCTTCAGTAACCCACCCGCGCCGCCGGCTCGCAGACGGACTACATGGCCACGCTGGAGACGGACCACGACTACAAGGACGAGCACCTGGACTTCATCCAGCAGTACGTGCGCAAGTTCTGCCTGCAGTACGGCGCCGCCCTCTTCTACACGTCAGTGAAGGAGGACAAGAACTGTGACCTGCTCTACAAGTACCTGGTCCACCGGATATACGGCTTTCCATTTCGCACCCCGGCGCTGGTCGTCGAAAAGGACGCTGTGTTCATGTAAGCGCGGGTTACTTTCCCTTTCACCAGACTGGTACCGCTGGAGCCGACACCACGTGCCAAAGTCGGGACGAAGCTTCAGGTGAGGGCGGTGTGGAAAGAAATGTGTTAATGCCCTTTGGCAAGTAGCATAAGCGTCACGGACTTTTGGCTTTGATCTCAGTCATGTTGTACCTCCCACTTGGCACTGTGACTTCGGCAAGATGCCCTTTAATGCTCATGCCAGAATGGGGTCGGTGATGTTTGGAAGCAGTCTTCTAGCACGAGGGATACATACGGAAGGATAGTCCCTGCAGGTATTTCCGTTGGGAGTCCGCTACCCCCTTGATCAGATCCGTCAACTAACGCTTCGGCCGTTCTGCAGACCCGCCGGTTGGGACAATGACAAGAAGATCTCCATTCTGTACGAAAACATGCATAGTATACACCCAGAGGACTATTACACGGCCGTCATCTCACGACCGGCCATTAAGAAGGTGAGGAGGTACACCGTGTGCCTCTTTAGCATGAGAGGCGCATGAGAGAGGGTCGCTCAGCATAGAAGAAGCGAAAAGTCATTGCACAGGGGATGACGACCTCATTTTGTGTTGTGGAAAAACAGCTACTGCATTTGATACGTTGGCCGTATAATTCGGGCCCGTTTTTCTTCTCCACTTCCATATTTGACATCGGATCTTAGTTTTGCTTATGTCTAATTCAACGGTTCACGTTGCTTTCCCTTTGTGTATTGCTCGTGTTGGTATCCAACATTCAACAGACCAGCAAACGTCCTTGTGCCGCCCACGCTTCCCTACTAATCCAGGAGAAGTACTACATTCACTTTACCTGCGTAAAGTCGTTAGCTCGTTTCAAAGCTTAACCCGCCATGCACAAGGAAACTGCTTATCTGGATATGGGCGCTGCCCATCGCCATATTGCTGCCAACGACACCGTCTTATGGATGGCTACTGCGCCGCCGCCATCGGCGTGTTATGTACAGCTGCTGTGACCGCCTGCCGCAGACGCTGGTCAAGGACGCCGAGCTGCAGGCCGAGGACGAGCAGACGTTCCTGTCGCGGCAGCAGCAGCAGCTGCTGGCTGGGGGCGTGGCGTCGCCGGGCCCGGGCGGCGGCGGCCCCTCGCGCCAGGACACGCCCTCGCGCGTGGCCGCCGCCAACGCCGTCCAGAAGACGCCCGAGCGGCGCGTGGCCGGCTCGCCCAGCATCGCCAACAACACCTCCTCCGGGAAAAAGGTGCGGCGTGGCGGCTTCAGCGCGGCGCGCCGTGCCCCGATGTCTGGTCGTGGCGTGCATGGAATCGTGCGCGAGTATAACTGGCTGCGTCAGTCGTGCTGCGCAGCTGCGCAGCTGCGTGCTGCGGAGACAGGTGGTGACGCTCCGTTGTATCCTGACATCCCGTGTCCGACATGACGCGACAAAGCTATCCCTGCCATGCTGCGCCGTGTGCTACGCTTTGATTGCGTGGTGTCCAGCGGCTCTGCGGTAGTGGACGCTGTCCGAGCGTGGTAACTTGTGCTTCTGCTCCCCGCCCAGTCTGTCGTGTCCTGCCGGGCCGATCTTAACCTGCTGTCCAGACCGTACCGGTACTTACCCTTCTGTTCATGCTGTGCCGATCTTTGCCCCACCGCTCCTGCCGCGTCGGTTTTACCCTACCGCCCCTGCCGTGCCAATTTTTACCCTACCGTCCGTGCCGCACCGATCCTTGCCCCACCGTCTCTGCCGTGCCGATCTTTGCCCTACCGTTTCTGCCGTGCCGATCTCTGCCCCACCGTCTCTGCCGTGCCGATCCTTGCCCCACCGTCTCTGCCGTGCCGATCCTTGCCCCCCGGGTGGCCGATCCTTGCCCCACCGTCCCTGCCGTGCCGATCCTTGCCCCACCATCCCTGCCGTGCCGATCCTTGCCCCACCGTCCCTGCCGTGCCGATCCTTGCCCCACCATCCCTGCCGTGCCGATCCTTCCCCCACCGTCTCTGCCGTGCCGATCCTTGCCCCACCATCCCTGCCGTGCCGATCCTTGCCCCACCGTCCCTGCCGTGCCGATCCTTGCCCCACCATCCCTGCCGTGCCGATCTTTACCCTGCCGTCCCTGCCGTCCAGTGCCTTTAGAGACGCGACCAAGCACCAGTGTGGAGTGCGGCAGGCGACTGGTAACGACAGGGCCCGCTTCTTAGCCAGGTCTGTGTGTTGCTGACAAGAAGCCAGGCGCAGGCATTGGCAATACGTGATGCATAGCTCTCGCAAAAGAACACCAGGTGTTGAGATTGTGGCTAGAGACCTCTGAAATGAATGAATCCGTTGTTATACCGCACACTTATGCAACGAGCCATTTGTGTTTGTGTGGAGGTCTGCTTGAGATAGCAGCATGGTTACGGGCCCGCTGTCGGGACCTGCGACCACGCGCGGCGGGAGGCCAGGTCACCAGGTCACACCGGTCTTCACCTATAACCTGTGTGCCCCTTTCCGCAGCTGGACGCCGGCAAGCCAGGAGCGGGCGTCACGTCCGAGGGCGTGCTAGCCAACTTCTTCAACTCGCTGCTGAACAAGAAGGCTGGCTCGCCCGGCATGAACAAGTCCACCGATAGCCGTACGTGTCCCCCCCCCCCCCCTCCGCTTGGGACAGGGCGCGCTGTGGCGAGACGCCATCAGCAGCTGCTTCCGGGGCCTGGTTTGGGGAAATTCGCAGTTGACGTGTTGTAAAGCCCTCCCAAGCATGCAGGGCCGCTATGCGATGCAAAGGCAGCGTGATTGTCAGGCATCAATGTGCATTTTCCACGATCATACTCCAAATGTTTATGGGTGTGCTAGCGTGGTCGTCAACGTATATGACGAGGCGCTTCATAGCCGACCGCCGTTGCGACCACCTGCAAGCAAGGTTTGCGAGGTAAAGTGTTGCAAAGCGCTGCTGACAGACGCGCGTTGGCTCCGGGTCACCTCTCACATGGATCACTGGCTTTCCGGCCTCCCCAAGGAGCCGCAGCGGTTTCGGCGCTGTTTCGGTTGGTGCGGAATGGAGCGCCGTCAGCGCCGCCCGCAGCTGACACGTCGCCCTCTCCGCCGGCAGCGGACACTTCCCTGGCTCGCTCGGACGCGGCCGCCGAGCTGGACCGCCTGACGCGCTCGAAGAAGACGAGCACGCCGGTCAAGGCGGCCGACGCGGCGCCGGACACGGACTGCTAGCAGACATTCCCTGACACTCCCGCCAGCGCGCGCGCGCGCCGGCCGTCTGTGCGTGTGGGTGTGATAGCTATCGGGCGGGCGCCGATCGGCACGCGGGCGTCCCCGGATAGCGCGGACAGAGGCGGCCGGGCGCGCCGGCCGCCGCCGCCGCGGCGCGTGAACTAGTCGATAGTTGTTGCAGCTTTACTCGTGTTATGTGCGTGCGGCCGGCGTCACTCTCTTTTGGGTCTCACAAAGGTACCGGTTTGGCTAACCCGTTTTTACGAGCGCCGGCATTTTGCCGGCGGGTTCTTCCTTTTTGTGGGCGTGGCCGCGTGCGCGCGCGCGGCCGCGCCTCAGGCGCCGGGTGTTTTAGTCGGGCGGTGACGTCACGGCTGGGACGTGACGTCGTGCCGGCCGCCGGTGTGACCAACCGCGAGTCCTGCTTTGTTAGACCCCGCCGTAGACCGGGGCGGTGGAGACGCGCGCGGCTCCGGTGCCAGGGGACTCGGCGACGGCCCGGGTCAGGGCAGAAATCACGCGCGCAGACTTCTCGCTCGTGTCGCTCGCATGTTAGCAAGCGCTCCGACTGGGAACAGTCTCACCATATTTTCAGGCCCTGGTTCTTAAACACGGAGGAATTTCAATGCGGGATACAAGTGTCGCGTTCAAGACCCAAAGCTCTCACCACCGTGATCTGAGTTTGCGGGCGCTCTGGCTGCCAACGTCGCGCGGCCGGGAGTGCGAGGCGCCCAGGCTCGTGAGCTCTCACGAGCGGTGTGGAAGCCATGCCGGGTCGGGTTCGGCAACGTCCCGCGATTAGCACGCTCTTGCGCTGTGGCAGCTGGCGGGCTTCCCCGCACCGACATCTCAGTCGACGCCGGACGCGTCATCCGTGAGGCAGTGCTTGCCTGGCGTCGCTGCCGGGCCTGCGCTGACCTGGGCCTGACCCCGCCCCCCCCCCCCATGTGACGGGGTCTGGCTGGACTGGCGCAGGCGGCCGAGAGTCTGGCCGACGTGTCGGACGCCCGGGGCGAGGCGCCACCCCCCAACGGGCTCCGGTGGTGGGCGAACGCGGCCCGGGCCGGGTGAGGAGCGCCGCGCGGGGGCGAGCGCCGCCCGCGTGATCCGTCTGCTGTCGCTCCGTCGTGTTGTTTTCCGGTGCTGTCTGTCTCGGGGCGTGCTGTGGACTCATTCCTGTGTGGTGGGCGGGGCCGGCGGCGGCGCGCGCGTGTGACCCGCCCCCAGGCGCGCCGCCCCGACCGCTGACCGATGGAGCGGCGCCTTGTACTCAGACCGCTTCCCGCGCCCTCCGGAACCCCAACCCCGCCCCGTCGCCTCCGCCGGCCGGCGGCGCTGCCCGCCGGCCTGGCCGCGTGGCGGCGCCGCCGTCGCCCGACGGCGGCTCTTATGCAGCGCCCCTGGCCGATCTGTTACTGCTGTGGTTGAGTTGACGGTAGGGTGGCGCCTGGTGTTCGGGATGAGACGGACGCCCACCCGGGCTAGTATACGGCTTGACTTGTACTTGAAAAAATAAACTAATTTATTATGCACGTGGCCTTTCCATGGTCGGGAGTCCGTCGTGCGATCACCGGCCCCCAATGCATGGTGTGTCGATCCGCGTCCGCTTTTCACGGACGACTGAATCGTAAGGCGTTCACTCAGTGTGCCCCTTACGCTTATGGGTGCACAGATGAAGAAGAGGGTCGCTCGGTCACATCCCCCCTTTGCTTGGATGGGTGCCACACCGCACGGGCGAGTGTGTCCTGTTGTCGCTGTGGTGGCGTGGGGCGAGATAACGTCGCGTCTGATACCGGGCTGTTGGGAGGCCCGAATCAAAGACCTGGGTGTATTAGATGCTCAATCGCCGTTCTCGGCCCCGAGCTCCCATCTTCGCGGCATCGCAAGGCGACTGTAGCCGTATCAACTAAGTGCGATTCTGTGTTGCTTGTCTTGTACGAAACAGAACCGGGTCCCGACCTTGCGCAGGGCGTGGATTCGTTCCAGTAATCGATAAGTGCAAGGAAAATGGAAGTCCTCCCAAGTTGGGAGCGGAGAGGTTAAAGACATTTTTGGCCATTCTTTTCAGTCCATGCTAGCAGCGAGAATGCTTAATGTTCAGAAAGTTGATGAGGCTCAGTCCCCCATTTACCTGATCTTAGGGCCAACATTTTGAACAGTTGGTACGGCGCAGGAAGAAACCTCCGACCAAATTGAAAATATGCCACGGAGAATGAGGAGGGTTTGATCGACTTCCAACATATTCAGCTATGGGAGGGTCTTTCGGTAGGCCCAATTCTCTTGATACTCGAAATTCCTCAGTGAATGGCGGATTGGTATACTTAGAAAGCCCACAGCTCATAATTTGGGTCATTAGCAGACTTGCGTTTTGAGGCACCTCGTCCCAGATCAAAAATGTTCCCATCACACCGTGGCCTTCCGTTGAGGCATGAATATCACCCGGAAGCTATGGCGCCGACCCCTTTGATAACCAGCATTTGCTGCCCGCTGTCATCAGTGATGTCATCAGTAATGTCATCAGTAATGCATCGTGTAATGGCTGCTCCCTTAGTATTGTGGATCTTACCCGGCCACAAAACTAGCGTTGTGCCACGTGAGCACAGCGCTTTCGTGGCCGTTTGTGACCTGGCCTGCCTGCGTCCCAGGTCACAGCAGGCCTTCTCGCCGCCAACTGGGGTGGCAAGCTGCGACGATTGCCTCAGCTCGGGGATGACGTTGTCGCCCGGCTGTAGAAAGACTGAACGGACTCCCCACAGACGGGACGGCGGCGGCGTGCCCTCCGGCAGGCGCAGTCAGAACTGCTGGAACAGGCAGCCGAGGAAGACGAAGAGCTCCGTGCACGCCAGCAACTCGCCTAGGCAGGCGCGCTTGCCGACGCCGAACGGCATGATGGCCTCGTCCAGCCTGAAGCAGCCGCCGGGGCCGATGAAGCGCTCCGGCCCAAGAAGCCCGGGTCGCCCCAGTGCGTGCGGTCGTGATGCGTAGAGTGCAGGTGCATGAACACGATGCTGCTCTGCGGGATGGTGTAGCCGGTCAGCTGCGCGGGGCCTTCGCTGGTGTGGTGCGGCGGACCCAGCGGCACGAAGCCGCTGTAGCGCAAGACTCCCGACATCACAGCTTTGGTCCATGGCAGCTGCGTGCGGTCGTCACAGTGCGGGGGCCGCTGGCCGCCGAGGACTGCGTTCAGCTCCTGCTACACCTTCGTCTGCACGTACGAGTGCAGGCAGCTCAACAGCATCGTCCACGTCAAACCACGTCAAGACCACCTCCACGTCAAGGCCGTGGAGGTGGTCTCGCTGCCGGCGACGAAGAAGTCCATGCCGATGGCGGTCGAGTTGTTGTCCGTGAAGCCGCGCCCGCCGCGTCCGTCTTCTGCATCTCAACAAGGGAGGTGTCGATGAAGTCGCGCGTGTTGTCCGCGTCGAGGACCGCGCGGTGCTCGCGGATGACGCGGCTGAACATGGCGTTGGTCTCGGTGCTGTATCGCTTAGGGCCGTGAAGCCGGAGCGGTCGGGCGTGACGAACCACGTCCACGGGAACAGGAACATAGGTTCTGTGGGCCGGCCACCTCGGTGAACCCCTCAAACACGTTGCGCAGCTGCAGCCGCTCCGGGTCCTCGAAGTCGCATCGCTTGTCCGCCACCATCTTCCCGATGATGTGCACTGACGTAACAAACATGCTGTTAGCCTCAACCTCGCGGCCCGCCCGCGCCTCCAGGTGCTCGGCGAAGCGGCTTGACTCGTCGGCGACCGCTGCGTTCAGGCTGTTCTTGCCGAAGCCCGGGTCGCGCAGGTGCCTGGGGGCGAAGCGTCGATGCTCCTGCCACAGCGCTCCTTCCGCGAAAATGATGCCCCCGGCTGCATGTGGTTGAGGTAGACTGCTGGGAAGAGCTCCGACCTGCCGCTGAGTCCGCGCTGGCCACATGCCTCCCGAGTTCGCCCACATGCCTCCCGGCCACATGCCTCCCGAGCTGGCCACATGCCTCCCGAGCTCGGCCACATGCCTCCCGGCCACATGCCTCCCGAGCTGGCCACATGCCTCCCGAGTTCGGCCACATGCCTCCCGGCCACATGCCTCCCGAGCTGGCCACATGCCTCCCGGCCACATGCCTCCCGAGCTGGCCACATGCCTCCCGAGTCAGCTCCGCGCCGAGTGCGGGCACCGTGGGCTGGCCGCGCGCCCACCAGACCGATCACGTCCGAGGCGTATCGCCCGCGCAGCGCCTTGAACACGGTGGGGAAGCGTCCCCAGGAGGACTTGATCAGCATGGCGAGGTTGCCGAAAATCAGGAGGGTCGGCGGTCCTGTGGTTGTGGAGTGCTTGTCAGTACGTGATATTGGGATGTCCGTTTATATGTGGGTAAAAGCCCCCACAAGACGCTCTGGCCTGCACGTTTGTTCAGCTACGGTTTTGGCACGCGTTCCTTCGTCCCACATTTGGGGTCGGGCTAGATCACAGCGCGTTATAAATGAGCCATTCCGATTCATCGCCCGGGGCGCCGAAGAATGAGCCATTGCTCGGCGCCCCGGGAATGACTCATTGCCCCTCTCTGCTCTTCTGCTCTTCTTCTTCCGACTCTGCTCTTCGTCGGATATTGAAAAGCACCAAAACATCCGCGTTTCTGAAATGTCGACCGCGGCGGTGTTTCTGCCTTCGGCCGTCTACCGAAGAGGGAAGCGCCGTCGGACGTGCGCCTGACGGGCTGGATTGAACACCACAAGAGCGAGGTTGGGACAGGCTGGGGCTCGAACAGAAGCCGCACCAACATGGGGCGTAAAGAGCACGGGGCGTGCTGAGGCTGCAGGGCTCACTCTCCTGAGCATCGGTGCCTTTCCTTTGTCTGTGCACTGTGGCGGACTGCGACTCGGAGCCCCCATCAGACATTCGACGGTCCCGCCACCTAGCGGGAAGTTGAGCGGTCGCTTCGGCCGGTTGATCCGCAGGTAGGTGACCAACAGAGCGCACAGCAGGCGGAGCGCCGCCCACATCTTGGCTGTCTCTTCGCTGGGGCCGGACTGCTGACGCCATACGTGTCCCTTCTTTCATGAAGACTCATCTGTCATGGCGCGCCCGCGTAGCGGTAAAGCGTTCGGTGTTTTGCGGTCGTCCGGAATGGTGGAGCCGCCTTTGTGTATGACGCAGGCCCGGCTAAACACTGCGGCAATGATTTGCTGACTTCGGAGATCTGACGCTAGGCGGCAGGGTTGGCTGCTGGCGGCGGCGTATGGGGAGCCGAAGCCAGCCGCCGAGCAGTGAGGGAACTCCGAACCTGGTGTTCCAGGTGCTACAGCTGGGTGGTGCGCATGCGCGATAAAAAGCTCGTTTCTCATTCCGGCGCGAGCCCAATGTCATCCGTGGAGCTCGGCTACTCTACGCGCTCCGCACTGCGGCCTCTCTGGGACACATTCTTGGGGACGAGGTAAAGAGGGTGGGACTCTGCGCTCTTGGCAGGGGATTCCTTCATGCGTTTCCGAATGTCTAGACACCGAAGTTCTACTCTTAGAAAATGTGGGTTTAATTGTTGTTCATTGGTCAAGACAAATTATACGGCGAGCATGTGTGTTCAAGGCTAGAAAGTAACCTGGTAAAGTCAAGCACAGTTTGATCGAGAAAATAAGCATAACAAGTGCAGTGAGAGTATCTTTCTGTTTCTGGCGCGCCGTGCAAGGGCTGCTGTGCGGTGAACGCTAAACGAAATCGTCCGGGCCCGCGCGCCCATACCGTGTGGCAGGCGGAGCAAGCGTGGGTGACACTCAACCGTGATGCCTTAACATGGACGTTGGTGTATCTTGGTATCTCGCGGTCACGCCTAGCGCGCCGCGTTGGCCAGCGACGCGAGAACGACAACACTTTTCGGCGCGGATGGCCTCTTACAGGATATATATCGGGTTATATAAACCGATGAGTCCTTTAGAGAAGACTCCTCCCCCACCCCTTCAAGCCGGAGTGGGTCCTTTACTGCCAATAATGGGTCCTCTTCAGGCCATAATGGCCCCTGCAGGACAAAGCAGGCCCACGACAGTCAATAATGGACTCTCTACGGCTTAGAATGGACCCACTACAGGACAGGGGGCCCTCTACAGCCCAAATTGGCATCTCCACAGTCAATAATAGGCCCTCTCCTGGTCAGAATGGCAATGCATGGCAAGCGCGCTGCATGGCAAGTGCGTTCAGTTGTTCGCGCACACGGTCCGTAAACTTGAAAGCGTATTTCTGAATGACAGTGGCTCGGGCGTCGAGGCTGAGGTTGACATGGCTGCGCTCCGTATTCAAAAGTCACGCATGGTGGAGGCGGAGAGACGCGGTGCACCTCTGTCCAGTCTCTTGCGCTGTCCAGGGACGGGCTGGCCAAGATGGCCGCCGTCACCGTGCCGACGCGTCGGCCAGCACAGCAATGAGGCCCCGATGCCGGCGGACCCCGGAAGGCCCATTGTCATTGCCCGGCTAGTGAAAGCTCACCCGACATGTTCTAAGCTTAACTTGTCATTTCTCGAAGATGCGCGATGATCCAATCCAACCGGTCGCTGACAGCAACGGGTTCATACACGCCCGTGCTTGTGCGTTTTGGTTAATTGCCTCGAGGTTTGGCTTTTGCCAAGTCGTACTACTACCGGGTCAGCCAGAAAATGTCAGCCGACTTAGATGCACCGGATCGGCAGATTATTCGGTATCATGACGTCATCAGAGGTGATGGCCACAGTCCCATCGACATCGAAGTATTAAGGCAGATGTTATGTTTGAACGGGCGTTTAATCCACGCTTAAATGACTCGGCGGCAGTCGCAATTGTCCTGATGTTGCTTCCGTTCTTAATGATTCCGCGGCAGTCGCAAGTGTCCTGATGTCGCTCCCGTTCATAAATGATTCCGCGGCAGTCGCAAGTGTCCTGATGTCATTCCCGTTCTAAAATGACTCCGCGGCAGTCGCAAGTGTCCTGATGTCGCTCGCGTTCCTATAAGCCACTATGTTGAGCCCGTTGCGGTGCTGGAGCAGTTCATCTCCAAAGCCCCTTCCCCCCACCCCCGCCGACTCCAAAACAGCCAGTGCCGCCCAGTGCGAGGTACACTCGGCTGTTTACGTTTGAGGACCACTCGGCTGTTTACGTTTGAGGACCACTCGGCCACTTCTTATCTCGCCGCTGCAAAACACCGCCACATTTCCGAGGCCAGCCCGTCAGCCTGCGCGTGCTCCGGCCGGCGCCAGACCACTCCCGTCGAGACGCCGTAGCGGACAAACACTGGCTCACTCTGTCGCTGCTCTGTATTCCCTCCGCAGAGGTCCGGCGACGACCGCTCGCAGCGTGAGCTGCCCGGTCGGGCGGCGACGCTGTTAAAGCTGGGCCCTATTGCCCCGGACAAGCGGCCGCCAGTGCCCTGCGGCGGCCGGCGGTCACGCGCGCAAGCCGCCGACGCCCCGCCGGACCCGGGACCGCACATAAACTCTGCAACCATCAACAACGCATGGACACCAGACAGTTCGCCCGACGCCGGCGGAAGCGAGCCGCTCGGCAGCGCCACCGTCGCGCCGGCAGGTGTCGCCGCTGTCGCGAGACTCGCTCGCTGGCGGTATTTACAGTTCTTTCCACCTCTCGGCCGCGCAGGGCCCGCCCATCGCACGCCGCTCTCCGCGCCGAGCGACCTCGCAGTACACCAGACCACAAAAAATCTGTACAAAAATAACGCCGTCGCACCGCTGAGAGCTGACCGGGCCGGCCGGGTGTGGCGCGTGCCGCACGTGATGTCACAGCGCGCGTCATCACCGCCGCACGCGCGGCACACAGGCGACGGCGAGCGCGCATTGCCGTCCAGTAAATCAGCGTACAGTTGGAATGACAGTTGCTCGGCTGCGCCAGGGTCCGCAGCTCGGAGCGTGGCGCGGCCCGGCGCGCCCCCCGGCCCGAACCCCGGGCCGGGAGTCGCGTGACGCGGGCGTCACTCGCGCGCCGCGACGGGCCCGCCATCTCTCGACGGCCTGGCACAACTCAGGCGGACGACACGGGACAATCACAGTGCCGCGCTCGCCGCGCTCGGCGAGCACGCGCACGCTCTATGTACATGGTCTTTGGCGCCGCGCCGCCACCGGCCGCAGGTGCGCCGGCGAGCGCGACTTCAGAAGCCACATAGTCACTGGCCTGCGCAAACTAGGCACACCTACCTCCGCGCGTCTCGTATTAAAATAGACCCCGGGTTTCAGCTGGAGGTACGGGAAACAAGGCACCGTGTGAGAAAGAAGCCGTCGGAAGGGGTCTAGCGGGGCTCGGGGCGACCGTTCGGCGGAAAGGCAAGCCAAGCGGCGCGGCTGGGTCGCCCCGACTAGAGGGAACGGTATCCTTCCTGACAGATCCGGCCGCACTCACTCGCCGGCACTCGCCTCGGCGCCGCTGGAAACGCGGCCGACAAACGACTGCCGTGCAGAACCAGCGTGCGAAACTCCACCGGTCGCTCTTCGCGTTGGAATGTCGCGTCGCAGGCGCTTGTCGCCGGCAGCACGCATCAGAGGCACGTGTGGACGCGGGACGATCTCTGGATGTGGGCTTCATCCAACTGAAACAGACGGCGAGACGGCGGGCGAGCGGCTGCAGCCCTCCCCCGGCTCCGACAGCGGTCGCCAGGCGCCTGGCCAGTCGGGCTGCCGCCAGCCGCACGGCCGCAATTTAAAACGCGGTGATTGCCGACGCGTGAAAACCAGTCAGGGACAGCGAAGGGTCTCTCCAGCTCCACTAAAACTTAACAACTGCACACACGGGCCCGATGGATAGTCCTGGCTTTCCATTTGGCATTCGTTCCTGAGCGAGAATCCGGCCTAGCCCATCTACCGGTGGCGCCGCGCGCGGCCGTCGGCCGAACTAATCCTTCTGAGCACCGGCCGCTACCGCTCTTGCTTCTCTTGCTCTTGCTTTTTCTTCTCTTGCTCGTGCTGAACCACCACAGTAAGCTCGCTTCTTGCCGTGTCCTTCGCGTGACTGCCTCTCTTCGTATGTACACAAACATTATCTGAAACGGGAGGCGCGGGGGCGTTAACGACCGCGCTGACCGCCGAGCGATCCGACGGCACGTGGGGCACTTTGCGCAGAAACGACCACCGGTCGATTCAGCCATGCTCGTCAATCAATGCCGCACCTGATCGCCAGGAGCTGCATGCAGCAGTCCGACACGTAAGCTGACACTTGAAGCTGAAGCCATTCGTTCGAGGGCGACAACTGTTCTGATCTTTAAAAAACCTTAGACGACAAATGGAATCTTTATCGACACCGATGATTCGCGAGCGTCGGAAGCATTTTTCACAAAAATACGGCATTTTCATCAATCTTCTTCAAATCCGACTCAACAAATCGGAACATTTGCGTCCCAATCTAACCACAGATCTAAAGAAAGTGCCTGTAGCAAACTATCAGCCTACCCCCTCAAGCAGCTTCCCTCCCTCCCCCCCCTTCCAGGCCGCGCCCAACGTCGCTCCCGCTCACCTATGGGCGCGCAGCTGGTCGCCTAGTCGTCACCTCCGTTGGCTATGCCCTCGGGCTCCACCATGGGCATGGGCACCATGTGCGAGTGGTGGTACATGGGCGCCATGCCCGCGCCCGGGTGGTAGGCGGGCGCCGGGGGTGGCGCGTAGCCGGCGTACTGGTGCGCCGCGCCGCCGTACTGCGCCGCCGCAGGGGCGCTGCCCATGTGCAGCTGCTGCATGCCCTGCAGCAGCTGGTACATGTCCATGTCCATGGGCGGCATGGGGCCGCCGATCATGACCGACTGCGGCGTCCAGGCGGGGCCGGACAGGTAGGGTAGCGGCAGCTGGTAGTGCGGCGCTGCCAGGCCGGGCACGCCGCCGCCGCCGTTCAGCGCGCCGTGCGTCATCGCGCCGGCGTCGTAGCCGTTGAGCCGGCCGTTGGCCTCCTGCTCTCGCCACCGCTGCTGGTCGTAGTTCTTGAGCTGCTGGCGCTTCTTGTTGCCGTCGGCGAACTTGATGACCAGCTTGAGGTTGTGGTTCTCCAGCGTGTGGCCGCTGAGTGTCTTGATGATGTTGTCGCATGTCTCGGGCGACTCCATCCTGCGAGGACGCGGCGCCACCGTCAGCGCCGCCAGCTGAGCGTACATTGGTGACTCCAGATCACGGACAACGGCTGGCGATGGGCCAGTTATGAACGTGATACGTTTAAAAACGGAAGTGGCGATAAGGAGGCGGAATACATACATAAACAGAATGATACTTACGGCCCGAGATGGTCAACAGCCAACACATATGTTGATAAAAGGGAAACAGAGGGAAAATGTTGTGCTACTCTACATCAAATAACACAGTGAAGGCCAAACAATGATGTCAACAAACACACCGCCAGCTCACGATGCCTCGCAGCAGTGCTCATTTGAAGTGCAGTTTCCGTAATGTCCCATCCAAGCCGGTTTTTCCTGGAAGGGTGAGCGAATCGACCCCAGTATTCATCTTCCCATCCGCGCCGCGTCCAGCACCATGACCTGGCATGGCCCGGCACTGGCGGCGCTCGGACGCACCACCTGTCTCCCCCCTCCACCACGTCACCAACTCGCTGTTCCTCCAGCTGGTCTGACCTGACGACCTCTCCTGCCCAGGCTTGGGGAAGCTGCCCCCTGCCCGCTGCCACTCCCCCGCGCTCAGCCGTCCTGTCCGCCTTCCTATCCGCCACTCGCTATAAATCAAGCCTCCAAAACGGAATGCTCACCGACGCCGATTGCTTCACAAATGTGACCGGCGAAACCGTTTTCCATATAAATTAAGACGTTCCATTTGCATGCTTCCCAAATTGATCTCAACAAGAATCATACGTGTTCCCGCTCCCAGCCCGGTGAGGCGGGCGCTCTGACGCCCCCCCCCCTCCCCACCAGCCATCACCTAGCTGCCCTGTCGCCTGGTATAGGTGCCCTCCCCCCCCCCCCCCTCCGCGTCACAGAGCAAAACCGGCCCCTGGCCGCTCACCTAGCAAACCCGACGCCGCGGCTGGTGCCTCGGTCGTCCCGCAGGATTCGCGTGGAGATGACGGTGCCGTGCCTCTGCAGCAGCGCCTCCAGCTCGCGCTCCGTGTATGTCAGCGGCAGGTTGGTGATGTACAGGTTGGTCGGGTCCTGCTCCTGCTGGCGCGCCATCTGCGCCTGGATATTCTTCGCCACCAGCTGTTTCACCGCCTTCTGCGCCGCGTCCGCCGTGTCGAAGTCGACGAAGCCGTAGCCTGCAGGTGCGGGGATCAGGGCGGAGTCAGAGGCGAGGGCGAGAGTGGGGGTGGGTCGCAGGCCGATATGACAGGAAGTCGATCGCTTCCGCCGGAACCACCGAGGCGGTTCAAAGTCCCACCCACGGCGGCAACGACGTCCACATTTCGCCGACGGGGGCTGTCGTAACTTGATTAGCGAACCGTATAAACTTTTATGAACTGCTGAGGCAGCCGTAATGGACTAAACGAATGGAATGGGGCTCTTACACAATATCATTTGAGATCGACGCATGACTTAAAAATGATTAGCGGCAATAACTCAACCATCTTCTCCTGCATCGCGTGGCTGCGACATTTTGCCAGGTGTTCGTTTTTCACGTTGCGGTATTTCTGCAAAGCTTTGAGTCTAATATGAGCTCAACGGTAGGCTAGTAGCATCTGAAGGTACTTGCATTTTCACAAATAGAAGACAACGCAAAAAGTGAACGGCCAAGACAAAGGTCTTAAATATCATGTTGGACCTGCTCAGTTATGTGTTTTGCTTGGTCTAAAAAAAAGTTTGAACAAGGTTTAGGGAAACCTTGACTCTTGAAGACAGTTGCGATGGTGTAGGGATAATAAATCGATCTGTTGAGACACTAGCATGACGTCTAGTGGACCGGCAAACACACACAAAAAACAATACCAAAAGAGGGCAGAAGGCCTTTCTTTCATTTCGAAACTCATGTGCTACAGTTAGAAAATACTAACTCTGGCCTATGAGAGATAATCGAAAAATCACGCACATTGCAGAACGCACGAGATGTCCCGAGATAACTCTGACTGTGCGTGCCATCCAAACATCGCTTCGTCACTTCCACCACGACATCGGTTCCACCAAAACCTACACAAAACATTGTTCTTGAACCGTGCCTACGAGCCTGCTCATTTCTGTCCTCTGGCTCGATGCCGGCAGTCAACATAGGCTGCCACTCCCCTCACGCGCTCGACGCCGGAGCACAAGACCAGTCATGCTGCCTCATGTGGCATGCGGCACGCTCACGCTCACGCACACGCACGCGCGCGCGCGCGCGTGTGCGACAGGCCCGGGCCGGTCGGCGATCACGGCGCGGCGCCAGCCAGCCGGAAGTCCGGCCGATACGGCGCGTCCCGCCGGGGCGGCCGCGCCGGCCGGGCGCGACACGCCGGAAGTCGGCGCTAACTGGCCCGGCCGCGGGGCGGCGCCACCTGCTCTGCGGATTGGGAGCCGCGGAGGGGCGGGCGGGCGACGCCGAGAGCGCTGCGAACGGCGCCAGCGGGCCGGGCGAAGCTCGGCCAGTGAGGAGATGACCTGAGGTCCGAGAGCGGAAATGTCAGCCGATGGAGAGTGCGTGGCTGAACGGCCACGGGGCCGCCCACTTTTCCTGCTCCTTTTCCTCCCCGCGTTTTTTTCCTGTTATGTTCGACAGAGGGTGCTGAGGAGGAGCAAGACAGTGCGCTGTTTAACAAGCGATGCTTTCCGGCACATCCCGATTTCGGAGTGCCGATTGGACGCGCCGATTCCACTGACGTTCGACCGTCGGGCGACGAACCAGTGTGGATCCGCCAACCCTCCCCATCCGTTCATGTGGACGGGTCGGGTCGTCTCACGCCTGTTCCTCCCTCCCCGCGGGTTGAGCGCCAAAACGAGGCGTTCGCTCCGCCGCCGCCCGTCACCCGTCACCTCGCCAGTTCACCCGTCACCTCGACGAGGCGTGTCACACCCGTGGAAATCACGTGGGCAATCCTGCGGTGCCGCAGACGGGGAAGGGAGATCGCAACACGTGTCACTCCAGCAAGCGCGTGCCGCCATTGGTTGCTCTCCCGGCGCCGCTCAGGCTCATTCCACCGGACTCCTCCCGCTCTTCCTGTCATCGCTCGCCTGGCTAACAAGCTTCTGTAGCACAGCCACTTGATGGCGTTCATTGGTTGATGGCCGTTTTCCGCTGCACTGGACCGGGGCCGCTGGCTGCCCGGCCTCGCCGGTCCGAAGCGTCGGCTGCTGACAGCCCGCCACCCCGAGTCATTCCTCACCGCCGGTCTCGCGCGCGAAGGTCGCTCTCATGCGGCGCCAGACAGATTGGGTTAGCGGGACCGGCGGCGACATGTGGCGTGGTTTGGGTGTGTCAGACAGAATGAGCGGCGCCGGCCATGCCAGCGCGGGTGATGAGCGGCGATGCTCTGGCGGCGGTGCTCGCACACCGGCGCTGGGACACATCGCCCCGTCCAGAACCACGACGACGAGAAGCCCAAAAGCAGGGGAAATGGATACAAATGCTACGATCTATGACCTTTTGTTGCAGACACACGATCGGTGATAAATCGACGATCAAACACAAACCGCTTGATCAGCAGCCTCGAGCCTGCCAATGACTTCATGATCAAAAGCGTCGGCGGCGGCACCACCGCAGGGTGCGGTACGGGTAAGCGCCAGGAGCGTCAGGCGAAGCCCAGGATTCCTGCAGCCGAGCGCCGGCGGACGCAGGATCGTGTGCGCCGCCGTCGGCTCGATCCAGACGGCACACCGGCCGCCATGGATAGCACGCGAACCTGGTCAGCCCGCGCGGGGAAACGGCCGCCCGGCCGTAGATTACAGGCACGCTTCCCGCTCTGAGATACCGGGGCGCGGCGCGGGTGGCGCGGTGCGGCGAATCTGGCACAGGCTGCTGTCTCCGGCCGTGCTGCGGCCTGCGCTCGCGTAAAAACGCCACACCGGACAGGCAGCTGGGCCGCGGAAGCCACGTGTCGAGACCGGACGCGGTGCGAGCGCCGACTTCGCCCCGACGACGCCCCCTCCGATCACGCGCTGATGAAGCTGCGCGTCTAGCGAAGGTTCGAGGTACGGGTACGGGGTGCGTAGGGGTGCGGGGTTAGATCTCCGCGGTGCCCGCCCTTTCTACCAGGGCGAGAGGCGGGTGACGCCATGTGGCCTCGAACTGCGTCGCAAAGCCCAGTGCTGGTGGGCAATGGCGTTCGGGTGTGCAGCAGAGATGGCGGCGTACCCACGCTCGGTACGTTCTCTGTGCTCGGTTCGCGTGAGGCTAACATACCAGAAAGCCGGCACAGCGGCGGACACAAGTGTCTACCTCAGCTCAAAGCGGAGCCAAACCGATATAAATGACGTCCAGCTCTGGTGCATGTCGGTGGTCATCTTCAGTGTCAGTGCCGACACCTAAATCATAGATCAGATGGCGTTGATACATCGCTGACTTCAATGTCAGCTTGTTATCAAACATTTTGCAATACAAGTATCGAATCGCCTTTCTCCCGCCGCAACCTTGGTATTTCACATAGGTGGGAGGTGGGGGATGGGGGTGGGGGTGGGGGCAATCAGCTTAACATGCCAATATTCTGTTGATCATGATCCGGTCTTAGTATTAGCCCATTTCGGCGGTCAGCGTTTTTTCAAGCCTGTTTTCAGAATGTCATTATTTTTACCGGCGTTCATTTAGCACTGCATACTTCTTCAGCTGCCGTCCTCCGCCATTTCTCGGGCAAACAGCCGCCATACTTACGTGCGGCCGCTTTTCCCGACCACAAGCGCCGCCATCCCGAAGTCCCGTGCCGCAAAACACCGGCTCATCAACAGCTCGCATCAGCTGATGGGCGCCCGCGGCATACCCAGGCCGGCCTTGAGCGGCGGTATTTTCGCCGAAGAGAATGCAGCTCCGGGAATATAAATGTTCCATTACGGGCACATGCCAAAAACACGCCGGCAGCGGCGAAGGCTGAATCTGGCAGCGCTGCTCGCGCTGGCCGGGCCGCCCGGTCAATAGGGCCACGGCCGCCGCCTCAGGAGGGGAGGGGGGGGGGGGAGGGGGGCGTAATGCAGAAGGTCAGGCGGAGATGCGCGCCTCTCGTCAAACCGTGGGTTGGCCCAGGGCTGGCCAGCAGCGGTCTAGCGGAACTCAAGCGCACAGAGGCGCGCCTATAAAGCGTGCGTGTCAAATGATCACAGCGCTGGCTCAACATTGGGCTTCCATGAAAGTGGGAGCCATGGCCTCCTCGCGAAACGCCGTTCCCATGGCTAGGCTCAAGCCTGAGCCTAAGCCTAGACCTGAACCTGTACCTAAGCCTACACCTACGCCTATGCGAGGACAGATTCATCTGATCCGGCGCCTGCGCCGTGGCAGCGACACATCGCCGTGGGGAGGGGGAAGGGCATGCTGACGTCACAGCCCCAGCGACCGCATCAGAACCGACGGAGAAGTTGTCCGGTAACAATAGGCGTCTGAGTTCTGCGAACGGTGTGGCGTGACAGCGGTCCATTCGCCGGCGGACTTCCAATTTGAGGTGACGGAGGCATGACTGGACGCTCGAGCCGAGGCCTGCACGAGACGAGACGCGGAGGGCGCGCTCGCTTCACATTTAGAGGTGGCCGCGGTGAGTTCGTTTATTTATAGATTTGATCAAAGGAAAGACCGCACTCCACAACTATTTTATATTATTAACAGACTGAACACGTGTATGGCTGCTTGCCAACCGCGGCCCAGCGAAGGAAAGCTTTGTGGTTCACAAACTGCAGCTCTGTCCCGGGAAGCCAGAAGACCAGACACGTACAAGCCAGTCTAACGCTAAACTCCTCCGCTTATTTTGGGCAACTTACCCAACGCACAGCACAGAGCTGTGTGTTGACTGTGAGGGACTATGGTGGTGATGTTTGGTGCTTAAGGGCGCGTCGACATCGAGACCAGCTGGCTAAAATCCGAGAGAGATCTCCGAATCGAAAGTTTTATAAACAAACGCAAAGAGGACCACCATCCGCTAGCACGAGCCGGAAACACAAGCGGGGATGGACCTAGCCGAACAGCTGCGAGCGAGCGGACCGACGCCCGAGACGACGCTGATTGGTCGGCGGCGGCTCACGATCGCGACGGCGGCAGCTGGAAGTGCCGCGTGACGGCAGAAATTCGCCGCGCGGCCCTCAATTACAGCGGGCGGCGTTGTAACGGGCTTTGAAATCGGCACGGAGCGCACCGATCGGCCTGCCGCCTGCAGCCCGGCCAAGGTCACTCAGAGGTCACCGGGGACGGCTGGCCCGGGTCGGGACGGGACGGGACGGCGCGGCGCAGGTGCCGGGCGGGCAACTGAGACACGGCGGTTCACGGGCTCCGTCACAAGGAGTGCCCTCCCTCCCCTGAGGTGTGCAGACCGCGGTTCGTTGTCAGCTCTGGGGCGGGGCGATCGCTGAATCAGGCGATGAGGTGGCCACAGGACGTGTTGACACGTCCCGTCCTGATGCGGCCGCTCGCGGAGCGCTCCCAGACAGCTGCCCACAGCCCCGCTTCGGGCCCGTACAAGCGAAAACTCGTTCGGCAAGGCCGACGAGCGCCACGTCCGCGTGCCAGGCGTCAGAGCAGCAGGGCAACTCCGGCACGGAGCGGACCGGCCGCCGCTGCCGCGTCATTGTCGTGATTGGGACTTAACGACGCACTCACCTGCTGAAGCTTTATAGAACCGCCTGCCCTGGCAGGAAGGGCGGACACCGCGGGAGTCGAACCCCGTACCTCCGATTTCTCAGAGGTGCAGTGGGTGACGCCCAACCACTTCACCATCGGTGCCTTCCGCCACTGATGCCTCGGCAACACGTGTCAGTGCACCCGCTACCCCCTGCCCATGCCCCCTCCCCCCCCCCCCTACGCTCCGCCTGTCCGCTGACCCCGTCTGTCGGCCGGGCCGGCCTTATCGGCCAGCCTCTCAGCGCCGGCGGCGGCGGCGGCGGCTGCCTGCGGTCCGCCCCACTGGCGGGTCCCGCATGCGGCCCGCTCGTGGTCGGTGTTTTCCTTCCCAGTCCGTGACGCGTCCAACGGTGTACAGCCGAGCGGCGGCCCAGGCGCGGCAACCGTTCTCTCACGACGCTCGGTAATGATTGGGGTTTTAGAGGAGCGCGCCAGCGACGGGGACATGTGGCGGCCGGCGCCGCTTGGACGGGATGTAAGTATTTCCAGGTTGGTGGGCAGTTTCTGGCCTGACCATGCTCAGGGAGATGATGCTTGTCGGTGTACGGATGCTTTGAGCACATCAGTGCCGACGGCATTCATCTGTATCGACCGAGCGAGGCGTTAGCCTCTGCCTGTTGGCCAGCAGTGCCTAACCTCATTTGCATTGAAACGATATTTTTAAGCATGCGTGCAAATAGGCAGCCCACATCTTTCTTCTATCGCCGCCGGATGCAGAGATCCATCTTGCCTTCCAGAAGCACTCGCATGTAACATACACACATGCAGGCCTTTTACTTTCCTGTGCAACTAAATATTGTCCTTTTTGTGTTTTCTTTTGAGAACGGTCATCCTCAACTGGGACGACTCCATCCGGTCAGCGCACTGATGTCCGCTTACCGAACACATCCCTCTGTCTCCTTCACCCCTGCGGCCCTACATTCTGGGTGTATATGCACCCGGCCTGACAAGCAGCCCACAAGACGATAAACCGGGACAGCCTGACCGGCCTGGTCGCCTGTGTCTTATCGGGGTCTTTTTTCCGTATGATACAACAAAAAGGCTAGTGTGAGCAGTCACTGCTGCTTGCGAAGGGTTTCCCGATGTGTGTCCCGCACCCCAGGATGTCGGACCCCCCCCCCCCTCCCCCCCACCTCCGCGTACAGAAAAGACGCTACCCTCAAAAAGATGTCGACACAAGGACGCGAATCCCTGCAACAAAGAATTGCAATGAACCCTGCGACCGTAAGAGTCCTTTCGTTGTTGATTGGGGGTTTCTGGCGTCTCGACTGCTATGGTAATTGTGCGCTTACGGAAAGGATTTGTTTTACTTACTTACGGTGGCTTTACCACCAACTTTCGGCTGATACCCGCAGCTCACATGCAAGACCAGACCGCGACGGGGGCGCCCCGCAGAGCCGGGCCGCGGAGCAGGGCCGCGGAGCAGGGCCCGGAGCCCGGCCGCGGAGCCCGGCCGCGGAGCCCGGCCGCGGAGCGAGGCCGCGGAGCAGGGCCGCGGAGCAGGGCCCGGAGCCGGGCCGGAGAGCCGGGCCGCGGAAGTAGGGACCGGAGCCGGGCCGGAGAGCCGGGCCGCGGAGCCCGGCCGCGGAGCAGGGCCCGGAGCCGGGCCGGAGAGCCGGGTCGCGGAGCAGGGCCGCCGAGCCGGGCCGCGGAGCGGGGCCGCGGAGCGGGGCCGCGGAGCAGGGCCGCGGAGCAGGGCTGCGGAGCCGGGCCGCGGCGCCGGCCACCACCGGCCCGCGCGCTGCACCTCACGCCGGCGTCGGTGCCTACCTTTGCACTCGCCCGTCGACTTGTCGATGATCGCCTTGGTCGAGTTGATCTGGCCGAGACCCTGGCACATGCTGCGCAGGTCCTGGTCGGTGGTCGTGGGCGCCAAGCCGCGGATGTACAGATTGGTCTTGCTCAACTCGGCCGTCTTCGCCTCCTTGTACGAGCCGTACGAGTTGTGAGAGCTGCTGCCGTGCGAGCCCGGTGAGTGCGCCGGCACGTAGCCATTGGTGCTCTGCGAACGGACGGCGGCGTGACGTCAGGCGTGCGTCACCGGGCCCGGCTGTGACGTCATCACAGTCAGTGGGGTCAGCGAGGGGAGGTCCACTTATCCCGGGTGGGTGGGCTCGTGGTGGCTCTGCTCTAAATGGACCCAGCGCGTCCAATTTAACCTCCGCGGACTGAACACCGGAGCAGCGGGTCCATCTCCGTCACGGGTCACGGGGCACGTGACGTCACGTGCACGCGGCGCTGCTGTGTACATGCTCAGCACGCATCGCGCACATGTGGATGCGTGAACGGACTGAGCGTGCGTCCGCAGCGCCGGGCTCAGCAGCACCGCCCGTCGCCAGGGCAACCAACATCAAGCTGCTGCGGCGCGGTCTGCTGCACTCGTTGTCAGCGTCTTATCAATATTGATTTCGGGAGTCGCGACGGTCGTTTAAACCACGCCGCGGCGGTCGGCAGCCGCTCGGCTGCGTGGCCCGCCGGCGAAGGACGCGTCAGCACGCCCGCCGACCAGCCCCGCGCACCCCTGCAGCTGTTATTCGGGCTTAAGGGCGCAACATCCGCGGTCCTTTTGCGCCCAAACTATTGCTGTGTAAGACTATGGCGTGTTATAACACAAAGGTTGCTGTGGTAAGCTTCCCAGGCGCATTCACACAAGTTGCAATGAGGCCGGATCCAACGCTCACCACGCCGATCCAACGTTCCCATCACGCCGATCCAATGTCGCCCAGTTGCTGGCACGCCCAGCACAGCTGAGGACGTACTCACTCTAAAGCTGCGGACGGGCTCATTTCCATCCCGTTGCCGAGCCGGCGCTGTCTCCATCCCGGAGATCTGAGCGCATTCCCCGAGCACACTCCCAGAGCATATTCCCGGAGCACATTCCCGGAGCACATTCCCGGGGCAAGTAACGCCGAGCGGCCTCCACGTCTCACTCGTGAGAAAACATCGCGACTGGCCATTGTCTGACTCCCGTTTCGGCCGGTTGTTTCCTCGACGCCGACAACGACGCAGCTACATGTGACGTAAAACAACCGGAGTTTCGGCATCCCCCAAATAGACCCTGCTCTCGGCACACGTCCCTCCGGGCCGGGAAGCCGCCACGTCGACCGGCCGTGCCCCGCGGCGTCTTCGGGGGCCGCGAACTGCGCACGACCGCTTCCCAGAACCGGGCGCTGCGACACCAATAACTCGGGGCCGGGATCCAGCCGGCGCTCTGGCTGGGGGTCAGTGAGATGGGGGGGGGGGGCAGGGGTGATGGACCCTCGCGCTCTTTGTCGACTGCCCCGTGACGTCACAGCCGTTCGGCGGACCGCGGGTGGTCACGTAGGTGCCGTTGTCTCCCACGTGGGTTTATTTCGGGAGGCGCCTTTCGCAAGCGGCCTGCAGCGCAGCCCCCCCCCCCCCCCCCCCTCCCGCCTCCGTTGGGTCCGTCCACGAGCTGCCAGCCCGGCACCGAATTCAACTTGGGGATGTCGTGGCATGGGAGGCAATTAAGCCTCTGGTTATTGACATTTCAAAGAGCGGAGCCGGCCATTGCCACAGGCTCGCAGATCACCGAATTTAATAATGTGTCACGGTGTCACTGCCGCTAAATGGTCCACCACAATGCGACCTGAGCAATTTTTAGCTGACGTCACGTGGCAAAAGAAACCGAGTCGATATTCATGAAATATGGAAATAGACAACCAGGGGATGCGTGGCCAAATTATTCTACAAGTTAATTATTGCTACATGCCCGGTGACCCTCTGGTCCCAGTGGCTCAGCTGGTTAGAACACCTTATTTCGATCCACCCACCCGTGGCAGGGTGGGTTCGAATCCCTTAACGCGCTCGCTATTTGCCCTTGACAGACATAATCTGCGGCTGGTGGCATCGGCCAGGCTACAGATCAGTTGACGCCAGAGGGCAGGAAGGAACCGTGCCGAACATTGAGGCACGTCAAACTTTCGCCACCAAATTCTGCCGTTGACCTGGAGTCGCCCCCTCCGGTCAGACTGGGGATGGGGCTTACACAATAAACACTGCTTAGAGTGAGCTCTGTCCGAGGAATCCATCCATTCAAAAGGCTCGATTAAATCTTTTAAAAAAGCCAGCCTACAAAATTAATATTACACCCCAAAGGTATTTAAACATGGAAGAAACGCACTCGTCATGCTATTGAGGATTTACGCCGCACTCAGCCACCAAGCTTCATGACGTCACCCTGTGATATGGCGTCACCTATCACCCTGTCAGGGAGGCCGGGCACCGCGGGGGAATGGGGCCCCGTCCCTCTGATTTCGAGGCGCTTGACCACAACACTATTTTCCGAAGAGCATCCACAGTTCTCCCTGCTCTTCGTCCCCGCCACAGCCACGTGCGGCGATCGCGGCCAAACCACCACGAACAGGCGCAGCAGGTGCCGCCCCTTCGGACTGGCCCCCGTGGCCTCCACCACCACGACCAGGCACGGCAGGTGCCGCCCCTTCGGACTGGCCCCCGTGGCCTCCACCACCACGACCAGGCACGGCAGGTGCCGCCCCTTCGGACTGGCCCCCGTGGCCTCCACCACCGCGACCAGGCACGGCAGGTGCCGCCCCTTCGGACTGGCCCCGTGGCCTCCACCACCACGACCAGGCACGGCAGGTGCCGCCCCTTCGGACTGGCCCCCGTAGCCTCCACCACCACGACCAGGCACGGCAGGTGCCGCCCCTTCGGACTGGCTCCCGTAGCCTCCACCACCACGACCAGGCACGGCAGGTGCCGCCCCTTCGGACTGGCTCCCGTGGCCTCCACCACCACGACCAGGCACGGCAGGTGCCGCCCCTTCGGACTGGCTCCCGTGGCCTCCACCATCGCGACCAGGCACGGCAGGTGCCGCCCCTTCGGACTGGCTCCCGTGGCCTCCACCACCACGACCAGGCACGGCAGGTGCCGCCCCTTCGGACTGGCTCCCGTGGCCTCCACCACCACGACCAGGCACGGCAGGTGCCGCCCCTTCGGACTGGCCCCCGTGGCCTCCACCACCACGACCAGGCACGGCAGGTGCTGCCCCTTCGGACTGGCTCCCGTGGCCTCCACCACCGCGACCAGGCACGACAGGTGCCGCCCCTTCGGACTGGCTCCCGTGGCCTCCACCACCACGACCAGGCACGGCAGGTGCCGCCCCTTCGGACTGGCCCCCGTGGCCTCCACCACCGCGACCAGGCACGGCAGGTGCCGCCCCTTCGGACTGGCCCCCGTGGCCTCCACCACCACGACCAGGCACGGCAGGTGCCGCCCCTTCGGACTGGCTCCCGTGGCCTCCACCACCACGACCAGGCACGGCAGGTGCCGCCCCTTCGGACTGGCCCCCGTGGCCTCCACCACCACGACCAGGCACGGCAGGTGCCGCCCCTTCCGGCCGACTCCCGCGGCTAACGGGAGCCCAAGCCGCGGCCGCGTGAGAACTAACGGAAGCGCCGGCGGCCGCGCGCAGCGACTAAGCGTTAACGGCCGTTTAATGCGACTGGCGGGAGGGATGCGGCGTCTGGGGGCGCCGGCCGATCGTCTCCCGCCAGCGGTGGGCGCCTCCGCCGCGGGTCACGGCCGGTCAGGTCGGGCAGCGGGACGCTGACGAGCCGTGGCCAGCGGCTGTGACGCGTCGGGGGCCGCCGCCTCAATCACACGTCAAACCGTTCCTCAAAGCCGTCACAGACAACTGCGTCTCGGCACCATCACCACCGGCTGCGCTCTACTACCGCGTAGACCACCATCTACCACCATCTACCACCGCACAGACCACCATCTACCACCATCTACCATCGCATAGACGCCCGTGCTGAGCCGCCACTTCGCATGAGCGGCCGCGCCGACCAGGCTAGCGACCACACGGAGCCGTGGAGCCGTGGAAACCGCGGCGGACTCTTCGCTCTCCGTCGGTCGAACACAACACGGAGGCTTGCCACGCGGCGGCTTTCGCCAGCCTCGCCAACGCGGCCGCGGTCCGCCCCCGCCCGTGCAACGACCGCGCCAGACCGCGCGGCGTTTCTCGTCGCGGGGCGGCCTGCCGCAGCCGTGCGGACCGCGGCGGCGGCGGCGGCGGGGGTCCGCGCCTGTCGACAGCCCGTCACCCCCGTCACCCCCCGACAGCGGCGCGTAACACCGGTGGCGCCGCCGACGGACGAGGACGAGGCGACGGTGCGGCGAGCGCGGGCGGAAGGCTCGGGCTGCAGCCGGGCGCCGCCGGATAGCGGTCGGGGTCCGAAGGTCTGACGCGACATGAGGAGCGACGAGGCGCAGCTGATGTGTGGCATGACGACAGACAGACGCTGGGATCCACCGACACATCATCGCACCAGCGGCGCTGGCTTTCCGGCGGGACTAGACGGCGGTTACCAGCGGCCGGCACAGCGCTGACAGTCGCCGGGAATACCGGCACATCACGGGACAGAGTCCGGCGCCAGCCGGGCAGCTGCGGTCACCGCCGGTCGCGCTCGCGCCCAGCGGCCCCTGGCCGGGCACGGCTCGCGTCCCGGTCCGAGAATGGCTCGCGTGAGCAGCGAGCGTGCGCTCCAGCCCGCCAGCTGCTGATGCTGCGCCGGCCACGGCTAGCCTGATACGCTCGGTCACACGGAAAAACGCGGACCGTACAGCGGTCGGCGTCGGCGCCGCGCCTTGCCGGTCGCCCGCCGGACGTAGTTCACGCGACGGCCGCCAGGGGCGGCCCGATCGCCCCTCGGCTCTTCCGGTTCAACAGGTGAATCTGGGATTCGCAGCTGTTTCGCAGAGCCTGGGCACGCACGTATGACGGATTACGCCAATTTCGTAGCTAGGCGAACGTTTAAGGGCTATGAGCCTTCCCTACACGCTGAAACTGGGCTTGAACCGGCCAGAAAAAGGAACAATTGCGCGAAAAAGAAGCGACCTAGCAGCACATGCCTATTTTCTGCCCCCAAAGGAGAGATGGGCCGACTGGCAATAGCGCGCAGGCAGCCTCTGTTTACCACCGCTGGTACGAACACCTGTACAAGCCAACACACCCAC